TAGGGATGGCGTACGTACTGATAATCCCAGTTTTCAACCGGTAAACACTTGTAAAGTGTTCAGTGCACATCTACCGAATTGGACACTGCTTGCAAGTTTCGCAAACTATATAAGGAGTTGAACAAGTTCCGTTTGTCAGTGTAGAAATGGGGCACACGACCTCAATCTCATTGCGCAACCTGGGCCGGCGCGGGCGGCGGCGCGCCCGCACAGACACTCTGTCCCATTCGTTCCATTTCCTTCAGACCCCCAAGACCATAAAGGCCTAAACCCTCCTCCACCGCGTAACACTGCCCACTGCGCAGCGGCGAGCGGCGGACAGAGCAGCGCGAGAGCGCGCGGAACAGGGTGGACAGGGACGTCCGGCGGCGTGGCGGTGGCCCGTCCAAAATCCGGCCTCCCGCTCCCCCCTTCTCTCTTGTGACCCCATACACACCGCCAAAGGATACACCACGCCGCCTCCGCCAAACTCCACGGCCACACCACGCCACGCCAGCAACGGACATAAACACTCCGTGAATAGCTCTGCAAACTCCAAGTAGTGTGTGTCTATCCGAGCCGAGCAGGCTGGAGACAGTCCGGCCGAGACCCGGCTGGAGACAGTCCGGCCGAGACCCGGCTGCCCTGCGCTGCTCGTCGCTGGAGTCCTTGCAAAGCAGCAGCGTCTCACTCATTCGCTCACTGTCTCCATTTCACTATCTCGGCCCTGAATCACTCACCCCCTCTTCCTCTCTCTGTCTCTGTGCGTTTCAGCCTTACACTCCACTCATTCATCGATTTTTCACCCTTCTCAACTCTTTGACCACACTTTCCACACTTTCCACCCTCTACTCATTCATCACACTTTCCTACCCTCTACTCATTTATCACACTTTCCTACCCATTATCACTTTCCGCGCTTCACTCATTCAGCGTTTTTCCAACACTTCATTCATTTGCCCTCCACTCCATCCCTGCTTGCTTACTCATTCCATTTGCTTATTACTCGTACTTTTTTATTATTAAGGCTTAACAAATACAAAATTCCATTTTGCGTGAGCACGTGCAGTGCGCGGTGGCGCGGTGTGGATGAGGAGGATCAAAGGCGGCAGGCATCACATACATTCGTGTGAAACGAGTGTTGTGGCGAGTGCCCCCACCCCTCCCATTTCACACAGAATCGGACGCACAAAGGCCCGGGCCGAGGGCCCTGGCCGTCCTCGCGTTGGAGCAGCTCTCTGCTGGAGCGGCGGCGGCGGCGGTGCGACCCTGGCGCTACAAGTTTGAATGCCGACCCCGGCCTCTCCCCGCCTCCTCTCTCTGGATGACGTCATAATCAGAGCTCTCTGTCCGTCCTCTGCACGGCTGGCCATCGAGCCCAGTGATAGAGGCTGGCCCCCTCCCTGCCATTCACAACGCCCCCGGGCTTTTCGCACCCGCCAAAAACTTACACCAGCTAAATAAATAAGTGTCACTTCAACTTTTTAAGTTTTTGAAAAAGAATCCGTCACTGTAAAGTTTTAAGTAGCGGTAATCCGCAGGAACCACGATGATGAGATACCGCTCCGCACATGTTACCGGTGTCCGGGGCAGCACGGGGCCCGGCGGCCCCAGCCGTACACGACTCGGGCTAGTAAAGGTCCCCCCCTGCTCCACCTACCCTCTCCTCCCCATCCATCTCGTCCGTCATGTCCTGCAGCCTGCAGCGGCAGCAACGGCAGGAGGAGCAGGGGCAGCGGGAGGAGCAGGAGCAGAGGGAGGAGCAGGAGGAGCAGCAGGGGGAGGAGCAGGAGGAGGAGCAGAAGGAGGAGCAGGGGAAGGAGCAGGAGGAGCAGGGAAAGGAGCAGGAGGAGAAGCAGGGGGAAGGGAGCAGGAGGGGGAGCAGGAAAAAAGGAGCAGGACGAGAAGGAAGAGCAGGAGGAGCAACAGCAGGAGGAGCAGCAGGAGCAGGGGGAGCAGCAGGGGGAGCCGCAGGAGGAGGAGCAGGAGGAGCAGGGGAAGGAGCAGGAGGAGCAGGGAAAGGAGCAGGAGGAGGAGCAGGGGGAAGGAGCAGGAGGAGGAGCAGGAGGGGGAGCAGGAAAAGGAGCAGGACGAGAAGGAAGAGCAGGAGGAGCAGCAGCAGGAGGAGCAGCAGGAGCAGGAGGAGCTAACCGGAGGAGCTAACAGGAGGAGCTAACAGGAGGAGCTAACAGGAGGAGCTAACAGGAGGAGCTAACAGGAGGAGCTAACAGGAGGAGCTAACAGGAGGAGCTATAGCAGGAGGAGCTAGCAGGAGGAGCAGCAGCAGCAGTGCTCGGCACGCGTCCAGGCGCCACCAGTAGAATGTGTCGCCCGCTGCCGACAGACTACTCTCCCTCTGCCGGATCTGGTCCACGCGGGGGGCGCCTGCTCCGCGTCGAGGCGCGCAGCCCGCGCTACACAGAGCGGTGGCCGCGGTGGCCGCGGGGATAATCCCTTTACGTCTTTTATCGTCCGGCGGCAGGCGCTGCTTGGAGGGGCGCGGGGCGCGGCAATCTGCATCGCTCGGGCCGCAGCCGGCCGCCTCGCCTCTCGCCTCGCGCGCGCCAGTTCATTTACCCGGCCATTCAGTGGATCCGCACTCCCTCTTCCATTTACTGCCTCTTCCTGGCCAATGGGAGGATGAGAAGGAGGAAAAAAAGAGGGACTCGGGCGGGCGACTAAATGACACGTCGTTCAAGGCGGAAAGGGCGAACGCGGCTCCGCCACGCCTCCGCCTTAAGGAAAGTTGTTCTCTCCCTCGGCACGGAAGTTTTTCCTGCACGCGCCGCTCTAGAGCACACACGCGGCGCTCGTCCCCGAGCGCACGGGAAACGTTATACGCAAGCGCACGAAACGTAAAGTCTGGGGGCGTAAAAGTGGTTTGGTAACGCGAGAGTAACGGGAAGCGAAAAGGGGAAAGAGGAAAAATGTACGTTCATGTTCATTACGGGAGCTCGTATTCATTATGCGATGAAGCCGCGGCGCGCGTGGGCCAAACCGCTGTGTTGGTTATTTTCAATTAGCGTAGACGTAACGAGCGGGCAAGCGCCGAGCGCCGGCCAGGCACGCGTAGGGCCGAGCGTAGGGCACGCGTAGGGCAGGCGCTTGGGGGACTCGCGCCGTGGCACGTACCGGGAACACGTCCGTCGGGCACTCACACCAAGCCGACGTCAGAAACTCTCATCGGGCACACGTCGGGCACTCACACCACGGTAAAAACGATATCTTGTAATTCAAGAAGATTGCTTGAAATCCAAGTGAAAATGCCTTCGATTCCAAGCAATCTGCTTGAATTACAAGACATCATTTTTGCCGTGACCGAGCAGACGTCAGATACTCTCATCGAGCACACTTCGGGCATTGTGGTCTCGAGTGTGGGCTGTGGGCGCAAGATTCACGGCAAAAACGGCTGCTTGATTTTCAAGCTTCAAAACCAAGCAGCCGTTTTTGCCGTGTTCAAGGGTCGTCGGGGTCGGCGTCGGCATAGTAAATCGAGAAACTCTCACAAGCGAGCGACTCCAGACTCCATCTTTGACAGAACAAGTCGACCGGACACTTTGTCCTTGGCGCCCAGAGGCGTGACGCGGTGGTGGGGCGGGGCGACCAGCCGCGACGGGTGTCGTCTGCTGCAGCCCGTGCTGCCCTCCTTCCTCTATACGTGAGGTGGGGTGGAGTGGGCTGTGAGGTCGGGGTGGGCTAGGGCAGGTCACGACCCAGCACGCCCCGCGCCACGACCGTTGAAACGAATTGCGCCCGCCCAGTTGGGTTAGGTCAGTGCTGCCGTCATGTCGCAGGGGGGCAGCCCGCGGGAGGGGAGGGAGGGAGGACGTGACGCGACGAGCTACACGGGGCGTGGGCGTGGGGGACACCCATTAGTCACCGCCAACGCCTCAAAAACGAAACGAGAAATGGTGAGTAACGGTAGGCTGAGGGGGACAGGTGTAATTAACGCGTGACTGTCCGTGACGGCGTGAGAGGCGCCGCCAGCTGTGCGTGAGCGACGCGTCACGGAGCCTCCCCCTTACCTTGTCACGCGCCCCAAGTTAGTTTAAATCACGCCCGATCCAATCAACCCCCCCCCCCCCCCC